TTCCTTAAGTACCCTTGAAAACAACTCATCGGGTCCCGGGACTTATTTTGTTTCAGTTTGTCTATCTGTTTAATAACCATGTCCCTCGTGACAGTAATATTAGTTAAACTTAAATTCATCAGGAACTAAATAATTGTTAATTACTGGAATCTCATTTACATCTTCCTGTGTAAAAACTGACAAAAAATAGTCATTAAATAAGGAACACATTTCCAGTTCATTATCCGTCAGCTGTCCATTCCCAGATTTCAGAGGTCCTACTTTTTCCTTCACCTTCGTCCTATACACTTGAAAGAACCCCTTTGGATTAGTCTTTGATTCATTAGCGACTCTAATTTCATAGTCACGTTTAGCCTTTCTAATAGCCTTTTTTACTTCTCTTTTAAGCTGAACATATTGGTCAGTAAGGTTAACCTCTCCTCTTCTGATGCGCCTATAAATTCCCCTTTTCTCCCCTAATAGATGCTTTAACCTCCTGTTAACCCATTATTGCTGAACAGAGACCTGGTTCAACTTGAAAGATAAAGAAATCCCTTCTGAATGCAACATGCAGTGTTGTAAACTATTCCACACTGATGGGGTCAGGAGGAAGGGTGGTGGAGTGGCAATATATGTCAGAGACAATATAAATTGTTGTTTTCTACCAACTTTATTACATGATATAAGATTAGAAACATTGGATACAGAATCTGCTTGGCTACAGTCTCTCGAAGATGGTGAAAAATAAATTTTTGATGTGATATATAGGCCCTTAACTCTTGATAGAGAATGCAGTAGCCTCCTATGGGAGTAAATTCATAAGGTATCTAGATATGAAAATGTTGTGTAAATGGGAGATTTCAACTTTCGATAAATTGGTGGGAACAATGTGACAGGAAATCTTTAACCTAGTGACTTTCTTGAAACAGTTCAGGATTGCTTTCTAAAACATTTTTGTGACAGAACCAACTAGAGGAAACAATCTACATTACATGGTTCTTCCCAACAAAGAATCACTATTAAAAATCTTGAGGTTAATGAGCTAGGGGAAAGCGATCACAAATCACTTAGTTTCAATATATCATGGAATTACCCAGATAACTGCAATCTAGACTGTGTCCCTGATTTCCGCTTGGCCAACTTCATGGGACTGAGAAATTACCCGGGTGGGCTTAAATTGGGACAACCTGACTATCGGGCAGGTAGGTTGTGTTGGTTACCATATGACGTTTTTCAGAGCATAGTGCTAGCTGCCCAGATAACTTTTGTTCCGAGTAGGGAAATTTGATCTAACAAAAATGATTCCCAATGAATAAACAACAGATTAAAACATCGTATTGATCAAAAGAGAGGCATATATAGGGGATGGGGAGTTAAGAAATCATTTTTGTTAGATTAAAGGCTATTGATGAAGCCACTGTGTGGCAAAACGTTTCTCATTAAAGATTCCCAATATTGCACATGTGCTAATTTTTCACCTTGTCGGTTCTCTCAACCATTATCTACATTCCTGTTTGACACAGCAACATCTTGGGATCATAATACAAGGAATTCTTCAACTTTCCCAACCATGGGCATGACCTACTTCCACTTTCGTCAAATGTGTGGGATGGGTGTGGATGTGAGTGTGTGCATGGGGTGTGCAATTGTAGATAGGTGTAGGATTTTGGGCATGGGTGTGGAAGTGTGTGCATAGGTGTGTGAGTGTGAGTATGGGGTGGAAGTGTATGCATGGGTGTATAAAATGTGGACATGGGTATGGGAGTGTGGGGGATGGGTGTGGGATTGAGTGTGAGCACGGGTGTGGAAGTGACAGTGGGCATCGGTGTGCAAGTGTGGGCATGGGTGTGAAAGTGAGTGTGGACATGGGTGTGGAAGTGAGGGTGATCATGGGTGTGGAAGTGAGTGTGGGCATGGGTGTGGAAATGAGTGTGAGCATGGGTATAGAAGTGATTGTGGATATGAGTGTGGAAGTGAGTGTGATCATGGGTGTGGAAATGATTATATGCATGGTTATTATGGAAGTGAGTGTACGCATAGAATCTACCATAAACTCGCAGAATTTACCTTGAGGGATAAATCCGGTTATGAAGCATGAGACTCCACCCAGTAAATACGATAATGAAAGCGTGCCCTTCCTTCCCAACCTGTGGAATAACAGTCAGTAACAACCTACACGACTCACACACTATGTGGTTTAACAGTAACAACCTATATGACTCACTCACTGTGTGGTATGACAGTAACAACCTACACGACTCTCACACAGTGTGTGAGAGGCTTTTACAAAGTAGAAGTGATGCAAGGAAGGAGGAGGATATGGATAGAAAATGAGAGGTTAAGAGAGTGGTGAAGGAATGTAAAAAGAGAGCAAATGAGAGAGTGTGAGACGTTGTCAACAAATTTCATTGAAAATAAGAAAAAGTTTTGGGGTGAAATTAATTAATTTAGAAAGCCTAGGGAAAGAATGGATTTGTTAGTTAAAATAGGAGAGGAGAAATTTTAAATGAAGAGTTGGAGG